GATTGAAAGCCTGAGAATCTGAAAGCCTAAAAGTCTGAAAGTCTGAATCTCGAGATTTAATATACATATTGTGTTTTGAAACATTGAAAGTCAGTATATGATTTGCTTGTAAAATTCTTTAAAAATATAGGAGCACATTCTCTGATATATTATAGAAAGAGTGGGAGATTTTATACCTAATTCCTTACAAATAAAAAAATATCACTATGAGATCCTTATAATGAAGTTTTTACTGTAGCAGGAATACATTGACCTTTAACCTGAAAAATCAATAGAAGTGTTAAGATATTCATGGACAACAATGGTATAGCAAAAATTATGCTGATCTTTTACCTGAAAATCAAAATTTATGAAGCTTGTTTAATTACTCTATCCATGAAGTTTGATGAATATTAACCAAACTATTAAATATCCTTCTCACTTTGATCTTTTGACTAAAACCTTAAAAATGTCATTTATTTACCTTTGTGTAACTTGGGTGATTATCTTGTATTATATGTTGGATATATTAGTTGGACACTATTTTTAATTTGACCCAAAAAAGAAGAAACCTGGAAAATCTTTTATTTCTTTGTATGAACAAATTATTTGATGTCATGCAGTTATTTTAACCAAAATATCAGGACAATCTGAGACTTTTAAATAAAAAGTTCTCATTATAGTCAAGAAACCATCAGTGTACCTGTTAAAGACAAAATATGAATGTCAACTCAACAAAGCAAGTAAGGCTCCTTTTCTTTAAATAGTAAAATTCTGATGAATTGGGTGAGTGTTTCTTTTTTTATGCCTATAAAGAAAAATATTTCCTCCATTTTGACTGTATGGATTAAGAGCTGTCCATATAATTGAATCAATGTAATGTCATTCTAAATGGTCATAGTAATAATCCATCATTCATAATATGTACTAGTCTCAATCATAAGATGAATCCACATTTTGTTTTTATTTCACATCACTTGGCGGCCATATTTGAGGGAAACTCAGAATTCTCTGTTCATGTAATTTTCAAGTGTATACCTTCATCATTTGACATACCTCATTTGCTTCTTGTATTTTGATTGTGCAAATCAGAGCTATTCATACATAGAAAGAGAACAAAAAATGAATACAGTGAATTTATTGCAAGAAATACCTTTAAATTTTGATACATAAAAGAAACATTGTTTTCATTCCTTTGGATTGACCCTGAATAGAGATACCATTTACTTTTTGCCAAATGTAAACTATATACTGCATGACTAAACATGATTTGTATATTGAAATTTGAAATGGTTTCTTTAATGCTTAAATCATTATACTCCTACTGTCCTATTGAGAATTATGCTCAATCAACTTTGTGAAATATTCCCAACTTCCAATGCTTCTTATTTACATTAAAAAAAACTGACTCAAATAAAATTGTTTGTTTACTCATTTATTTTACAAGAAATAACATGCTGACAGTGAATCTAATCATTTTTTAAACTGGTTAAAGTAATGTTTACAATTGTCTTAAAATGCTCAAATATAAGTTTATTTCATACACAAATACCTTAAATGTATAGACTAAATGTACTTATAGATTCAATATATAGATTAACCCCTTATAAATAGTAAAAACCATTTCTTAAACCTGATTTTCTTGCCTATTCTCTCATGCATTACCTAATTTGAGTATTCTCAAATTATTGATTACATGAACAAACAAATTTAAGACAAAACCACAATATATGCTGAATGCCCTGAAATGAAATGGTTACATATGTAAGATGTGTAACACATCATGTACAACTTTTAAGTCTACAAAATTTTAAGTTAACCATATTATACAATAAGACTACTTTTTTTTCAAAGTTATGAGAAATTCTCCACAAAAAAAAAAACAAAAAAAAAATGTATTTATGCAAAAGATAAATGTTAGGGTACAATTTTAAAATACATTTTACATGAATCACATAAAGAACATATCAAATCATTTCTTTGTGGTTGTTTTCCATTGGAAAATCTGTTAACAAACATTCTGTTTTGTCTTATTTTTTTGATACATAAAAAGCGTCCAAAAATCATTTGGAATTGTTGTGTTAAACCCTGATACTCAGAATTTTAAGAGTTTCTGATGTGTGCCCTACTTAGAAATGTTTACAATGTAACAAAGATGAAACTCATAATTGATTTAATCAGCAATTATAAAGTCATCAGGTTTACACATGCTTTTCTGACAATTCATGTACATTTTTTTTTCTACTAGTATGTCTTTGTTCACAAAAAAAATTGAAATCAACAGTACTTAGCATTCCATATAAAGAAATATGAACCCTAGCTATTAGAAATTTAAAATATATTTGTGTATCAATGCATTATGTTTAACAAAACAATCTCTTTCACTGTGATGAAAATTGTCTTCTTCATATAACATGCAGATGAAGAACTTCTTTGGATTATGTCATTTTCACATGCAAAAAAGAAACTAATTCAATTCAAACTAAAAGACAATCATTAAAATTTTAAGGACATTAAAGGATGATATCAAGACTTGATAAAATTCTACAATTATCATCCAAAGATGTATATGTTTGAAATCATTTTTTTAATTCACAACCAAATGATATGCTGCCATTTAATCTTTCAAACTTAAAAAAACAAAATCTATACTTTCGAATTAAACATTTCAAAATCTATAGGAGTCTTCCCAATACTTATCTACATTTATTTATGACTGAAGGTATGTAAATCACCAGAGTTGCTGTACTGCACCATTTGAATAAAAGTCATATCCACATTCTTGACTTTTTTCCCTAAACCTTATTTCAAAACATAAATTATTCCAACCTGTCTTCATTCTATGCAGTGATAATAAAATTTTCACAGAATTCTAAGGTATTACATAGTAATAGTCTTTAAAACACTCTTGAACTTTGTGCATATGATTTACATTTCAATTCTTTCCAAAGAATATGCTATGCCACCCAATAGAGCTGATATAAAGTCTCTAGGTTGTCACAAAATGTTAAAGTTACAACAACTAAATTTTATCCTGTAGGAAAATGATCCAAAAATCTATAGAAAATCTCCTATCCATTCTTCACTTAAGATGTGAAGTTTGAAGGTTACAAATTATTGTCAAAGGAAGTTATCTCAATAATCTCATGCTTTGACCTTGAACATTGTCCTATACAACTAAGTGTATTACTCCAAACACTATATGTGTAGTAAGTATAAAGTTTATGGAATGATAAAAATATTCAACATATTATCACAGATCAGGGGACACTTGCATCTTTATGGTGGGTCTTATTGAGACCTATTAAATTCAAAATAGGACAAACACAAACAAAATGTATTTACAGTTCCAGGAAAGTAATAATTACACCAAAGCTAGCTTCTGAACATCTGTGTATTTTCTAGGGGTGTTGTAGATATAAGATGAAAAATTAAGGATTCAATGTATAAAAGTCATACATAACAACTGTTTTCAATTTGGACTACACAAATTAAAAGTTATATTTAGATATTTTGAAATCTGTGAGAATTATTTTTTTGAAGATCTCATACTATCAGAAAAACACATTTTCAATACTTTGATTTGATTAAACTTCAGTCTGTTAAATGACTACAATTTATCTATTGTTTTGTATGCCAGCATATGAAGGATATGAATGGGAGAGGATCTAGAAAAATGCACAATCCTGGGTCCTTTCTCTCTTATCCTGTGAACCACAATTCATGATCATCATGATTGACTTAGTTTGGAATCATATTTATTCATGTGCTTCTTGAGTCCTCCATCCATCTCTGGTTTTATATTCTTGTATCAGTGTTCCAAGAGAGTATATTCTGTTAGTCTGTGCATAATTTACTGAGTTCCCCATTGAGAATCCTTGAAAGGAAAAAAAAATTATTAGTTGAAAAATTGATATGCAATATAAGCTTAATAGAATTTTAAACATAGACAAAAAAAGGGTTATAAACACAAGGTGTAACATCAGATTTTGACTTTTCAAAACTATGGGTAACACCTCCAGTAAAAGAAAAGAGTTAAGGAATGAGTACTTCAGTTTGGTAAGAGAGTTCTTACAGAGAAAGATGTAGAACGAGGTTTACCAATTAAAATAAAAAGAGATGACATTATTCAGATCATTTCTCATGAAGAATATAGCTAATTATCCCCACAATGGATGGGCCTTGTGATGTCATAGATTACATAGACAGACCCTTGATTGCAGAAGAAGCCTATGAAGAATATAATCATTAATTACCAATAGAGGGTAAGGATTACCTGGATTACCCTGAAAGACCTTTGACTGGAGAGAAAATTCAATTTAAAGATGCTAAGAGAGAAAACAGTTGTCAGCAAAAAAAAAATGTTAAAAACACATGATTTTAACTCCACAGAGGAGAAGAGACCTGAGGATTAATGGAGAAACTCTACACTAAAGTTTTAGAAGACATTTAGGCTCATTTTGATAGTAACTTGCCAGTTTTTGTTTAACTACAAAATTTTGTTCTCTGATAGAAAAAAAAAGTTTTCACTTTCATTTGTTGTGCCTTTGACCATTTTAAATTGACCTTATGGTCAAGATTGTGATATATACATTCTGATATAATCATCTATGATGTCTCTATGATGTTTACCTCAAAAGATTGAATCAGGGTTTTTGTGTTCAAAGAGAAATAAACATATAAACAGATCTGAGATGTTGGAAGCATACACATTAAGTGATGTAAGGTCAAACAAAACACTTGAATTCATTACTAGATTATTAAAAGAAAGAAGAAAAACTCATAGAAATGATATTGAAAGTACCTTCTATGAATAAAGGGTCATGCTCCAAGGTATATTTTTATAAACAGGTTAAGGTCCACAGAGTCCCCATGCACTCATAAGAAGATCCTGGATGGTAGAAACACCAGGAAATTTTAATGCCATGCAATCAGATCATCTTACATCAGCTATAAAGGTTACAGCCTTTAGACATAGTCAGGAGGGTCATTATTGATTAAGATTTTTCACTGTTGATCCTGAGGAGCCACGTTGTAGTATTCTTTCCCTGTAAATATAATGTCAATATTAAAAGAAAAATTCAGAATTCATAAGCATTTGGAGAGAAAACTTGAAATCTTTACCAACTATGCTTTTAAGGAAGCTGAGGGTTAATAAATTAACCATCTGATATAACTTATTTTTAGATATCTGTTAAGATATCTTCAGCTGTTAACTATCATTTGGCAAAGAAAAATTTCATACATTTTAGTTTCACAATTTGATCATTTTTGTAAATATATGGAGCTCTTCTTCTCATAGAGGAAATCAATATAGTCTAAAAATAACCATGACCACCAAGCCCTCATAATTTCAAAAAAAGATCATATCATCTACTTATCAATTCAATTAATTTGAAAATATAATCAAGCATATATAAAAAATATATATATAAAAATTAGGACTGGATATCTCATTGAAACTTTACCTTCAAGTTTGATTGTTTCTATGTTGGTTGACTAACTATGTATTTCCAAAGGAATTTGGGCAGACAGGCTGAACTTCATAGAGAATGGATTATAGATGGTTAGGAATAAAACATAACTTCCATGTTGAGGACTGTAGAAAATATAATCATTTTGTTAATATGACAAGGAACTGCATGAAACATTGCATGTTTAAATACAGTGCCAAAAAGTTCATGAAAATAGTTCATCATGTTATCTTTAGATAACAAAAGAAGCACAGTTACTGTATTAATATCACAAATACAAAATGATTATCAGTGTAATTTTTAGACACTAACAGACTTTCTCTTAACAGCATATTCAATTTTGTTTAATACCTGTCAGTACAGCATACAAAAAGATATTAGCATATACAACATGTAGTCCTACATTTTTTGAAAAGCTCATTACTAAGAAACAAAAGTGAAAATGAAATGATTATGTATGCCATATATAGCACATATTTAGAATCAAAACAAGGATAAACCTTTTGTAGATTCTTACTTTTTCTTTTATTACATTCCTTATAGATCACAATTTAGTAAGTCTGAATTCCATGGGTAACAGACATAATGAATTATGACATTATATCATAATTTATGCAAAAGGACTTATTAACAATATGAAGTTTCCTTAGTATATTTTAGCCAAAATAAGACTGTGCTTATATGAATGTTAGAGATATGAGATCACATAAGAATTACACAGTAATTAAATTAAACCATATAATCATGGTTAAATGCAAAGATGACCTTCATAGGAAAATGTAAACAAAACAAAGAAAATGTAAACTTACCAGAATTATTTAAAATAATGTCAAATTTAAGATAGGTATCAATTTCCATGGAAATATATGCCCAATTAAATAATCCAATGAAAATTAACCTCAACATCTTAGCAAAGATGATCTTCATATAGAAATGTTAAATGCAAAAATACAAAGACAAACTTACCAGACATTCATCCAATATATCAATTAAATAATCCTTCAGTGAAACAAAACAAAGACAAACTTACCAGAGATATCCAAAAAAAAGCATTAAATAATCAGTGATACATCAATCCTGAAAAAAAAGCATACAATATTCAGTGATACTCAATAAAGCAACAATTAACCTCATTTTACAAAGGAAGTAAAGCAACAATTGACAGACAAACAGGACATTTTTCTGATTTAAATTTAATCATGAATGACCCATCATAAAAAGATTTGAGACAAAAGATTCATTGGCATAATATGATCTGATTGATTATCTCCATATCCTTCTTTTGGTCACTGTGATTAAAGATTCATAGAAATATTAGAAATAACAACTGAGAATATCACTTTAGTTGTTTTAAAAGCATGTATCAGTATTTTATAAGATATGCTATGAGGCTCCTCATAAGAATATTTAGAATACTGATCCAATAAAAGGAATGTGAGACAATATGATCATAACTCATGCAAAAAAGATTTATCAACATTTTGAGGATCTCTTAGTCCTAGTGTATTTTAGGGTAAACAATGGCAGTGTTTATATGAATGTTCTAAACATTAGGTATATAACACAGTAATAATGAATAAATACAAAGATGACCTTCATAGAAAATGTATAAAGAAAAGTTTGTTAAAACTTACCATGTTTAGGTAACTCAGTAGAGTAATATTCATTAAATAATCCAGTGAACTAATATCTAGCCTGATCCAGGATTCAGCTGTTCAGAACTTTCTTGGAAGAAAAACGGTAGAAAATCAGTTTTGGTACTGAAATCCATAGGACCATACTGTTATTACATGAAGTCTCAAGCGCTGTGAAAGTCTGTGTTATTGTGTCAAAATAAGCAGCCATCGCGGCTTGTGAAGGACTAACATGACGTCGCTGCCAAGATTATGACGTCACAATGCATAGGTAAGCTCTATGGTATTTTTGCACACGGCCCCCCTTACAAATGATGCAACAGGTATAAAAAAGATGATGCAACAAGTATAAAAAAGATGATGCAACAGGTATAAAAAAGATGATGCAACAGGTATAAAAAGATGATGCAACAATTATAAAAAGATGATGCAACAGGTATATAAAAAAGATGATGCAACAAGTATCAAAAAGATGATGCAACTAATCTGCACTCCCCTTGACCCGCCTATCCCCCACAGGGACTGCTCCTCCCTTGACCCACCCTATCCCCCACAGGGGCTGCACCAGCTAGAGGAGATACAGAGAGAGAGAGAGAGAGAGCACAACAAGGGGGAAATATTTGACCATAGCTAAAGGCATATTTGAGTGCAGTCAGAAGGACTGACGGATAGATTGATCACTATAAGGAACCTACAGTGCGGGTTCCTATAATCATGATACCTGTTGTCACGAACAAATAAAGATAGAACAAACGCGATAGGATAACATTGTAACGAAAATAAGGATACGAGTTTAAATATCTTATTATTATTTCCTTCTCTCGATCAGTTAATCAGTTTATTCAACTGATTTTTAGGGCATTTTATTAATAAAAGATAAAATTAATACTTTTTAACTACTCTTCAATGGATATCAAAGCTACTAAAATGCAATATTTGTAAAAAATGAATTAAGTCAATCAAAAACATTTAAACATAATCACATATCAGGTAATAATGATTATCGCCATCGATTATCAGATATATGTACATGTATATGCATGTACATGTTTTGCGGAAAAACCT